TGATAGCAGGCCGAGCCATTATATCACGCTTAGAGACGATTCAGACATAGCCAGGGTATGTTCATTTGTCATTTTCACAGATGGTTACTGACATTCCTACTTTAATTTAGTGGTCCACAGCCGCACTGCCCTCCGGAAAGACATGAGAAGCATGAGGCCTCACTGCAGCCATTACGTTCCAGTGACACTGACATCCTCATTTTCACATTGAATCTTGCTGGATGCGGTATTTATATGTTGTTACAATAACATTTACGCCTATTTCATTTTTCTTTTCTTGTAACCATGCTGCCGACTCTAGACTCATCTAGACTCGGCTATTCTCTTATCAAGCGGGCTGTCCGCACTTCTCTTCTATCTTGATTGTAACATAGAGACTATCTTGCGCCGCATGACAGTTTCACCTATCTTTGCTATCTTGATAGGTTGTACTCTTTTTCCTATCTCTGTTACCTTTCTTGTCGCGGCAACTCCGCTCCATTTTACCTATATAAACCCCATGTACCATAGATGTATTCCTTAACTTAATCTACTGGGTTTTCCCCTTGAAACCTGATCTACTAAGGTCTCCACCCTTAGTAGCCTGAACCCTGATTCTAAGACAGTCACTCACTGTCTTAGCCTGAAACCCTTGATTGCGGTAGAAGTGCTAAAACCACTCGCCGCTGATCCTGCATAGAAGCCGCGGCTCGTGCAGTAGGAACCACAGAAACCTTCCTTGTATTAGGAAGGCCGACGAACTGTTCGCCCGACAGGTCTATCTTGACCGGCAACAGCAGAACTATCCCAGTCGTAACATATGTAGGATATTAGTCTTGTCATTGACTACCAGACGGCAGGCACCATTGAGGCATATTACATGCATTGATGTATTGGTATGTCAGCAGTGTTTGTGCACGTTCTATTACTCGTGGTATGCATTTCAATGCTTACAAAGTTATAATTGATGGAGCGCTAACCAATATGTCTTGATTAGCAGGTCATTAGAACATTTCAAGGTTTCTATTACAACTATTGATGTGTACAGCTGCTGTGGGTGATATTACGTTGAGCATGCACGAGGTAAGTGTAGTATTATTTAAAGTGTTGTATTAGTTGACTAATTTTGTGTTGCTTCCCCATCCAACGATATCCTTGTCCAAAGCGATTCGGGACACACATGTCGCACATTACACAGTCACACACAGACTCAGACAGTGACTTCAATGATTGGGGGGGGGGGCAATCCTAGTCACATCTCTATTCCAGGACCCAGCGCTTCTAAAGGGGAGCTACTAGAGGTAAGACATGATTCGCTTGTCGAAAAATTTACTGACTTGATTCATTTCAGACACTTAGAGTGCTGCAGGTTCAAATGCAGCGGCTTCAGGAAGAGAATAGGTCTATCAAAGAAGAAAACAAGACTTTACATGCTGAGAAGCCCAAACAAAAATGGTGTGCGGACACTCAGCATGAACTTAGCGCACATGAAGATATCATCACCATCTATGCCCGTAAGTATGGCATGATGGTCGAGATGTTTCCTAGTGGCAATCTTCTCAACTCAAAGCTTCCAGAATCTCCGACTCTATTCAATAGTCCTGACCAATATATGACTGCAGCAACACAGGACTCTGCCTTCTTAGACGAGCTTTACCAACACTTCCCTGAATCATTGCACAAGATGATGGAAAGTTCTTATTTCAGTGATCTGGTATGTAGCTTGTTATTTCTGGACTTGTCATGTCACTGACGCTACAATGTTCTTGACTTAGGTACTGAAAAGTATTCCTGATGCCCATGCAAACAAAATCAAGAAACTTTGTGGTGTTGCTGGTGATATCTTTGACCTTCCGTCAAAGTATTTCACCAATCCCGGCTTCGAGAGAGCTGCTATCCCTGAAATACAACAGCTCCTTGGGGTGACATCTGCTACAAACCAGACATACAAGCCTTTTCTGCCAGTGTTGTTTCCAGGATTGAAGGAAGACAAATCATTGAAGATGGTGTTCAGAAACTGGGAGCTATTAGCACGAGTAAGTCTTACTATTGTATTGATGATCTATCTTACTGAGTGCAACTTTATTACCCAGATTCTCAAAGCTTCGTTGTGTGGTGTTTCCTCACTCCACCAAGGCTCAAGTGGTGGTGGTGCACATACCAACTCTCTTAAGTGGAGTGTCTGCCAAATCACACCAGGATCAATTGCATTGGCAGTAGTTATTGTAAGTCATGTTACCATCATTGACGACTTGAGCCTCAGTATTCGTGTGTTGTTGCAGGCCATATTTTTACTTTCGCCAGGACACCGAGTTCTCAAGCTCTGGCCTTGGGAAGAAGTCGAATATCAATTATAAGAATCTGTTCTACAACTACAAGAAGATTCTCATTGTGAAATGGTCAACGAGGCGCATCCTATCCATTGTTGCTAATATCAATTGCTATGTCTTCAAGGCCGCAAAAGGACCCACCATCAATTCAGCTGAACAAGAAGATCATACAGATGCCATCGATCGTGCACTAGCAGCACTGGACATGTCCGATAGTGATTCAGATGATCAATCCAACCTTTTGGCTCTGACATCTGCAACACTTCCAGTTGCTGATCCAGCTGCTGCCACCCTAAGCACCACTGTGAGGAATTCCCAACCTGAAGCACTACCAGAGGCTACCGATGTCGATCTACATGTTGCTGAGGTGATGCAGGATGCAGGAGGTAGCGCTAGTGGACAAGGACAGATGAAAACTAGGGGGAGGAAGGCTGCACCAGCTCCCGAAGCAACTTCTTGCACAACTTGTCGGTCTTGCAAATGATAGTAATACGTCATTGTTATCCCTGACACTATTCTCAATCATCCACTCCTACACTTACTATGTTTAAATTTTCATGCTCATTCAATCATTCTTTAGCTCTATCATTTACATCTTGATCCTTGCCCACCTGAATTAACAATTATTAAATATTGAAGTCCCACAATATCAGAGCCCTAACAAAACACTCTAATAGTGCACAATTAGACTTCGAATCCTCTTTCTCCCCCACTATTAATCATACTATGAGAATATTATCAACACATTGTCAGTACATCAATTCAGAATTGCTTCTCCCATTGTCGCACCACTTACTAGACTTCCTTCTGAATGCAGCATCCACCCCCACTGTTCACTATCCTCTGGATCTGAGAACTTTTGTTGGCTTCGCTGCCCCCAAATCAATGTTGTTTCGATCGTCGCCCCCAACTTCGCATTTTTTCCTGGACCTCCTGTCAATGGACCATCCTATTATTATTATTACTGCAGCAGCTACCGCCGCCTTCTAATAAGTTTGCCAGCATTACCAAGGTATGTTTTCTCTCTGTTATTTTTGTCTTACAGATAGGCTAATAGTCTCAACATTCAGGCCGCAGGATCAAGGTTTGGCAAAATTATGCATCATTGAGTCCTAATACTTTGATTATTACAATTAAATAGTTGCATCCTGTATTACTACTAAATTGAATAAATTGCAATTCATCTCACAAAGAAGTATACTGGTGTTATAATATGATTTCTACAACTGCATTGCAATTGCAAGATTTAACCTGTCCATTTCAATGAACTTGCAACGACTGTTGTGACGATGATAGCAATTACCTTGCTCCTGCAAGGTCATGTTCACATGTTGGTAAATATGTGCTAACATAAGCATGTAGTCCATGTGAAAAAAAAATATTTCAAAGTTCGACTTTTCGACTCCCTGGCATCCCCGCCCCTAAATTTCAGATTTACTATCTAAACTGCCATGGAGTCAGTAGTGATGTGCACAGCTCAGCTTGAGGCCCTAGGCCGGCCCAAGCTGGGCCCAAATAAGCCGGGCCCAGCCTAGGCCTAAGTCACGGCCTGAGAAAGGCTTGGGCCTGGGCTTGAATTTCAAAAAGCCTGAGCCTGGCAGCCTAAGCCGTGGCTTAGGCATGTTCAGTGGCACTGCCATAGAAGCCTCACCAGAGGTACATTTTCTGACTCTATTTTTGTCTTTTCGACCTTCTGACTTCTATCATTCTTATCAGCTTCGACGGTCCATATGTCACAGTGAATTGCCATGTCTTATTTGTGCTTCAGTTGGTCGACATTACTCACATTGCAGTCGAAAAGCCTACTCTGTCCAACATATCCAGCAATTTACCCTCCTTTGATGCCTTTTCTCTTGTGTGTTGCTACGCAAAAGCCACGGTGAGCTGCCAGCGCTATGTCTTGTGCTTTGTGAGCTCAACATAACTCACTCTGCCATCGGCAAACTAGATCTCAACTGCACAAGCCAATATTTTTGGTAATTTTGAAGCCTTATGTGCTTCACCTTCGCAAGTGTGATTGTCCACCCAATATCTTTCAATTGATTTATGTTGGTACATGTCCCTCTAATATCCCAACTACCTGCTACCTACCTATGATGAGCACAGAAACTGAGCACCGTGTTGCGCATCCTGTATGCAAAACCAAACCTACAGCGGCCCTTCTTCAACATGTGGAGAAGGCAGCACTGCCATCCCAAACCAAGGCAATTCATGACTTCCACGCTGCAGAGGCTGCTAAGCGGGCTGCCACTTCATCCTCCACCTGAAATTGCGGAACCTCCATGCACCTCTCCCATACCATCAGCATCATCTGCTGTCGACCCCCGCAAAAGGGTGCACCCTGAAGACTCTTATGAAGACTCTGACAGAGAATCTGGCAATGACAAGCATGAAAACGCACGTACTAATCCCAAGCCTCGAAAGCAGCGCAAATTGGCTGTTGTCCCAACTGAACCAGAATTAGTTGACGCTGACGGTATTCTAATTGACATTGACATTCAATCTCTCACAGAACCAGCGTCGACACGAGAGGCCAAAACTGCTGACATCAACAAATTTTTCGGTGCTACCTTTGATCATGCAGGGGCAAACAGAAAGGTGAAAAAGCACAGGAAGTGCAAAACATGCCCGTAGGTCTGCTGATTTGTAGTTGTACTCACACGCTGATGCATGCTCAATAGGAAAGAATGTATTCTTGTTAATGAAATATCTACCCTCCGTTGTCACGCTGAGGCAAAGTTCTCTGCCAAATATTGGAAATGGGCCAAAGAACATTTGTTTGAGTCGATGCTTCCTGGCGACGTTAAGGCCCGCAAGGAAAATGCCGTGCACAGAGTATTAATGCACATCTGACTGAGTGGAAGCTTGCCGAATGAGTGGTTTCATATATGGATAGGTTGTTCAAACAGGCTGCAATCGAGTGGCTCATGTCCACTGATCAGGTACTACATTTCTCTTATGATTGAACTGAATTAATGTCTATTTATCTAGCCAATTCAAGCACTCAAACATCCAAAGTTCAAAGAAATGATCGACATCGCGGCTCGCGCAACCAACAGCGTCAAAATTCCAGGCAGGAAGGCAACTCGTGCGGAGATAATAAGAACCTTCAAAACTCATCTTACGGGGCTCAGGAGCAAACTCAATGTAAGTAAATTTTATGATATTGCTCTATCTACTTGACTAATGTGGACCTATGTAGGGTGCCACTGTCAAGGGCACCATCAATACTACCTGTGACGCATGGCAGGCCGAAAATACTGATGGTTACTTTGCTGTCACAGGACACTGGATCGAAGAGAAGACTACTATGCAATGGGAACTCGAAAGTGCGCTGCTCGGATTCACTCAAGTCAATAATGCCCACACAGGCAAGCGTCTCGGTGGTGCTTTGTTTAAAATCCTCGATCGTGTTGGTGCCACGCACAAGGTAAGTTAGGTTTACTGCAAGTATATTCATTAGTCTCATAAATCACACTAGCTTGGACATGTCACTTGTGACAATGCCACGAACAATGGCACCACCCTACAGGAATTCACAAGGCTATACGAGGCCAAATATGATAAGGAGTTTCCCTGGCTGCCAGCGGAAAATAAAGTATGTTCGATTATCACTTCTTACTTAACAAAATTGCTCTCTGACAAATCTAATAGCTGCCTAGCCCACATTATCAACATTGCGACACAGACCTTGATCAGCTCATACAGCAAATCCCCTCATTACAACCCCCATGATCCGAAAGTGCACGAGCCGTCCAATCGAGATGAAATTGGCCTCATTCGTAGCATTTGCATTAAGGAACGTTCCTCTGCAAAACAAAAGGAGCTGTACCAGAATGTTCAAACCAAGGGAGGTGTGTCCCAGCCAACGCAACTGTTAATCGACATGAAGGTTTGGTGGTCCTCCACTTATATTATGCTCAACCGTGCAGAGATGAATAAGGAACACATGTGACACGTTTGTATATGAGATGGGTCGTCAAGAGCGTGATTTAGCTAGACGTGCGAAGATTGACTTTTTGCAGCTGTCAAACGTTGAATGGACACATGTTGGGCAGTTTGCCGATCTTCTCTTGGTACACTATTTTCTATTTATTTGAAGCTTTCTACTTATCTTGGTTTTTTAGTATGCTGACGTGGCCCAACAAGCTTTCTCATCTGAACGAGGTTCAACCTTACACCTTGCAATCCCAGGCACTCGAAACTCTTCACAAGGCTTGGTCATCACGCGCAGAAAGGCCAAAATATGCGAAGTTTGCTCCCACGCTCAAAGATGCAGCTGCCAAAGTAGATGAGTATTACGAGAAGACGACACACTCTGCTGTGTATGTATTGTCAATGTGTATGTTGATTATTTTTTCATGAACGACTGTGAGTCTGACATTTGCACTTCAGTACTCAACCCCACAGGGAAAATGTCATATTTCACGAAGCATTGGCCAGAGGATCTGCATGATGATGTGCTTTCTACTGCGGAGACAGTGGTGAGTCATCTTTTTTATTTTATCAACTTAATCTGAATGTGCTACAACTAGTTCAAAGCGCGGTATCTTCAGCTGAACCAAGTGACATCATCGACGTCACAACACACAACTAAGCCCAGCAGAACTGGCAGTCTCAAGAAGTTAATTCGCAAAGTCCTCAGTGACTCCAAGGATGATTCATCGGCCAACCCAGTGCCTACTTCAATTGGTGACCCGACAAGACCATGGCAGGCTGAATTTTTGGCCTACCTCGAAGACAGTTGAAGCAGCTCCACCATCTGGCATGTCTACCATTCAATGGTGGGGTGTACGTATTTTTTTCGCTACTCAAAAATTTCACGCTAATGATAATCTTACTACTTAAGATAAATGCACAGAGGTACCCCATTTGGGCTTCACTTGCATGGGATTATCTGGCCATTATGTCATTGTCGGTCTCCAGTGAGAGGGTGTTCTCACAAGGTGGTATCACCATCACCAAACGACGCAACCGGCTTAAGGCCGACATCATCAAAGCACTCCAGTGTCTTAAATGTGCACTATGACACGATCTTCTGTTCCGTGAGCCTGCGCCATCGTCTCTCGTTGAGTTGGAGCACCTGGACGACGATGATGAAGAAGTGGAAGTAGAAGAGACTGGTGATGACGAAGAAGGTTGGGACATTCTGCTTTTGGGTGATGATCTGAGGACGTGTCGGACACTGAGACGGACATTTACTAGATATATTGTAATTATGCTGCCTAATGCTACAGTGGTCTTGAGCTGTCTGTTGGCTGCGAAAAGCCGCGGCCTGGTTGGGCTTAAGCCCCGGCTTTGGGCTGGCTTGGGCTCACGGCCTAGGCTCTGAATTTTTGTGAGCCTAAGCCCTTCGAAGCCGAGCCTAAGCCGGGCCGGAACATCACTAGGAGTCAGTGTATTTGAACTCTTCAATACTTCTGACAATTGATGTGCTTTCATATTCAGTTTGATGCCATGAATGTTAAAATAAGAGTTACCAGA